ATCTGTGGCCCCTGCGCTGCGACTTATACCGGAGGAGGGGGAGTCATTTTAACGTGGGCTTCAAAGATAGAGGACAGCCGGTCCGCATTCCTTTCCCCCCAGCGCTGTAGAATCAGTGGAGCTAGTGATGGGCAGCCACACACCTCTGCCCAAACCACTGTCATACGCTGCCATTCATAAATAAGCCCAACTAAGATCCTGGAGATTGTGGGAATGTGATTACCGCTGCCTTCGCAGAGCAGGTGGATGCCATGTTTAAAGCACTGCTGTGACAAAGCATTATGGGAAATTGAAAAAAGTCTTAGAAATAAAAGGTGGCTTATTACTATGTGCAGGAGATGCAAGTTCAATACTAGCGTTATCATCCCCTGTACATAAAACATAAAAGGTCAAAAAGAGATGTGCTATTACCTGTCTAATCAGACTTATGATTTTTGATCCCATAATGAAGGAGAGTCCAGATTCACAAAATTCTTAACTTTAACTTAAGAATATTTTGTATTCCCAAAAACATTTATTAGGAATGTTCTAAAGACAAAACTTTGAATTCCTGAAAGAATGTCTACTTAAAAATCATTGTGAAATTTTTTTTTAAAACTCTTAAAATAATCTCCACTTTGTCTTAAATCCCCAATAGGCAAGATGTTTAATTAATTTATTACGGATGTGCACAAGTTCTCTGAAGTGACACCACTGATCAATAAAGTAAAGAATGATCGGTCATGATCATGCGTGCCATGACTTTTTCTAAATTCATAACTCTACAAAAACAAAAATAGGGACAGAATCAAATTGGGACAATTCTGACAATTTTTGGCAGAATTTAGCACATACAATATGAGCACGCTTATAACCAGGGGCCACATTCAGAAAAAAATTTGTACTTTACACTAGTATTCAACCAGTCAACGTCAATGCTTCTCATTCTTATTATAAAATAATAATAATAAAAAATGAAACTTTTAAGAACTGCATTCAGGAACATTCTTACAAACTTTTTATAATGCACTCTATATGCACGATTGGACAACATCCGGTGCAGTGCAGTGTATAGAAATTGTGAGAAAATTAAAGGGTTACTCCACCCCAAAATGAAAATTGTGTCATTAATCACTTACCCCCATGTCGTTCCAAACCCATAAAAGCTTCGTTCATCTTCGGAACACAATTTAAGATATTTTGGATGAAAACCGGGAGGTTGGATGAACGCAAGCATCGTACGCTCTCCTGTGTCAGCCGCGCCACACTGATGTTTTCTACGTGTATTTACGCTTTGATTTGAATGAAAACAGCGCATCCGTGTGGCGCGGCTGACACAGGAGAGCGTACGCTGCTTGCGTTCAGTGGATATTCTCCAAAATGGCACTACGGTGATGCGGAGAGACACAGAGGAGACAAATTGTTGAATAAAGTCATTATTTTTGTTTTCTTCACGTACAAAAGTATTCTCGTCGCTTCATAAAATGAAGATTGAACCACTGATGGCAGATGGACTATTCTGACGATGCTTTTCACTTTTCTGGACTTTGACAGTGTAATTTACTTGGCAGTCAATGTGACAGTCACAAGCCTCCGGTTTTCATCCAAAATATCTTAAATTGTGTTCCGAAGACGAACGAAGCTTTTACGGGTTTGGAACGATGGGGGTAAGTGATTAATGACACAATTTTCATTTTGGGGTGGAGTATCCCTTTAAGCACAAAATTAAATCTTAAGAGGATGTGTCATATTGTTTTATTATGCTAAAATGTTATGCTTACTGTTAAAAATATTATATATTATATTATAATATAAGTTCTGATCATAAAATATGCTATATGCTACTACCACAGTTTGCTATGTGAGAATACTATAACAGAAGATCATGTGGCACTGAGATTTTAGCAAAAATGTAGCATTCGTTCTTAAGAAGGATATTTGAGTTCCAGCCAGAAAGCAAGCTTAGCGACACATAGCAACGTGCTCACAACCGCTCAAAAACACCTTAGCAACCACCAACAACATTCTACAATCGTGATGGCGAGTTCTACATAGACAAGACCAGTCACAATTTAAAAAACTAGTTTGGGAATATTTTCGAATGTCTGAATATAATCCAAATGTTTTCATGATAAAACATCAATGAATCATACTTAAAAGAACATAAAGGGAGTAGAATGACTTTGAAGGCTGTGCGCTGGTACAGTGTCCCGGTTTGAATGATATCATACCTCGGATATTACTCACTCTTTTCTTTATTCTTATCTCGGTTTCCCTCCTCTCACTCTCTTTCTGTTACTTCATTGACATTTCCACCTCACCGAGCCCAATGCTCGCATAATCATTAGTCAGCGTTTCTATCCCCAGTTTTGACCCCGTGTGCCAAAAAAAGGCAAATTCTCCTGTGGAGGAAACAAAAGTGGCGAACAGACCTGCAGGTCCATTCTAAAGCTCAGTTAAACAAACAGAGGAGGAAATGCGGGGTACACACGCCCTTTATTGTGCTGCCATGCGTCGGCAAAGGAAAACGGAGGGAAGGGGGGAGTATATGGACTGGAAAAACAGCTCTGTGGAAGATAGAGAGCTGAAGTCAGACACAAGTGCATCCACACCCACTGTCACTCAGGCTGACGGAGGTGAGCGACAGGCCCCATTGTTCCTGTCCATGGCGTGAATGCCACACTGAGGCTGACAGAGATAAGGGCTGAATGCATATGCGTGTGAGGGAAGTGACGGTGGCCACTTTGTCATTGCACCCGGACTTAAGGGGCTTTAGTGCTGATTACCAAAGAGACCTGCAGGTAACACGTGTTTATCTGTGGACATTATCACCTGCTTCCTTGCAATGATGTATTGAGGGATTCGGGTTTACTGGACTGATGCAGACAGGTTCATGTGCACTCGCTTAAGTCACACCCTCCTGTTGGGTTGAGGTCTCATTCCATTTTCAAACTGATTGACACACTGGTTAAACTATTTATTTCTTCTTGAATTTTTTTTGAGTATTTCTCATTTAGAGTCATGAATGTGCATGCAAAGTTTCGACACTGATGCGTTTTGGAAAGGATGTACAAATTTTGTTACAACTTTCTGTCATACTGACCGCCTCATTGCTTTCCATGCAATTTGCCAAAAATCAACACTTCAGATTTAGTCAGATTTAAAAAAAAGAAGAAGAAAAAAAAAGGTTATTGTAGCTTGTCAAACACTAAAATTTTAATAGCACAAGAAATTCAATGTTTACTCAAAATTAAGGACTAATGATTTTTGGCAAATTGCACAGAAACCAACAAGATTCAATTTGACCCCCAACACTAAAGTTGCACCCAGTTTTATTTATTTATTTTTTCTCACAACTAACAACATGAATCCAACATATGCATCACATCTTGTCTACTAAGATGCCGTTCTCTGGTCAATTCCATACATATACTTCACTGACTATGATATCCCATAATACTGTGTGTGTGGTTTGGCATTGGACAGAATAACAATGTCTGATGGACTGGTTGAAAGGAGCAAAAATAAGCATGTTAGTGACTAAATATTTGCTTGGTTGTCACTAAAGCTCAGATATTTGGTCTAAAGCAGTGGTTCTCAAACAGTACAATTCAAAATTTTGGGGTCAGTAAGATTTTCTTAAATGTTTCTGAAAGAAGTCTCTTTTGCTATCCAAGGCTGCATTTATTTGCTTAAAAATACAGGAAAAACAGTTATATGTTTAAAATATTATTACAATTTTACATGCCTTTCTATTTGAATGAATTTCTCCGGTCTTCAAGGTGTCACATGATCCTTCAGAAATGATCCTAATACACCGATTTGATGCTCAAGAAACGTTTCTTATTGAAAACAGTTGTGCTGCTTAATATTTTTGTGGAAACAGTGGATTCATTGAGGAACAAAGTGCAAAAGAACAGCATTTATTTAAAATGGAAATATTTTAGAACATTATGTCTTTACTCTGTCACTTTTATCACATCCTTGATGAATAAAAGTATTAATTACTTAATTAAAAAAAAAAAAAAATGTAATTCTTGCTGACCCCAAACTTTTTAACTGTATTATCTATGTATGTATGTATGTATCATGAAATGGAAATCGACAAAAACAAAATAATAAAAAGCACTCATTTTATTCTAACTGTTAGCCTATTTTTCAATGTTTCATTTCTGATGCCTGCTACAAATCAGCAAAGGTCCAGTCAAGCAACTGATGAGGCTCGTTCTTGACTTATTTGAACTGTGGGAATATTGATAATCACAATATGTTGCTTGCTTATCCTTAACATTGCACTCAAACAGATTTCTTTTTGCCCAGTGCTGAAAAAAAAAAAAAAAAAACATTGGTGAGTCAGTGACTACTTAGATGATCTGATTGGACTGAAGGTGGTACCTAGACTGAAAAGTTCAAGAACCACCTCTTTAGACATTAAGGTGCCGTTTAGCCAGTTACCATCAAGCTCACACAGATTTCCTGGCAGAGTAACTAGGGGTGTATTTATCATATCAGCTATAGGCATGTTCCACATACAGATATTCAAAGACGTATGTTAAATAAATAAAATCTTGGTTTGATATTTAAATGACTGTCAGACAATAAGCGTTACTTTAGGGGGCCACATTATGCACAAATACAGAGTTTGACTCATTTACCACTAATCAGACATCAATAGTAATCCCATATTAATGTAGATTCAGTACGGATTATAGCTTGTAACTGTCCGAACACTGCAGTCCAGACAAAACAGGTCGCTGATGCGGCTGACAGCACGATGAGTGATACATTCAGTGCTGACAGCTGATAAAGCACCTACAGCTTCATTACAGGCACAAACCCGCTCTCACTGCACACATTAGCGCATAAACACGAGCAACTAAAGCACGAAGAACCCCCAAAATAGCCCCGACACAACAACATAGAACCATACGCCACTATTTGGAGTGGAATCGTCAGCAAAACTATATATATAAAAAAAAAACTTGCGCAATCCGCTCACTATAGGAATGTAACCGCGGTACCTGTATGAAGTATGAAATGCGGAATCCCGCGTGCGACGGATGAAATCAGAACGTGCGACGGGGAAACTGATAAGCCCCGCAGTGGAGGAGAGCTGTCTTCAGCACTGCCTGAATTTTTAAAAACAAGTTGTTGATTGCATATTCATACATTCATAAATTAATGTTTTTTTTTTTAATTATTATTTAAAGAGAATGATTTTTTTTTGTCTGTTACTATTTCTGGTACTTTTTATTTTTTACTTTATTTAAACAAGTTGTTGATTGCATATTCATACATTCATAAATTAATGTTATTTTTTTTAATTATTATTTAAAGAGAATGATTTTTTTTTGTCTGTTACTATTTCTGGTACTTTTTATTTTTTACTTTATTTTATTTTATATTTTATTTATTTTATTGCTGAATCATCCAAGGAAAATTGTGGCTATGATTGGAAGTTCATAATAAATTGTTACAACACCTGGCTCGAAGGGAAGCAACAAAAGGAGGGACACACGAAAACATAAGGCTCAATAGGAAAAGGCTTTATTAAGCTCAAAAGTAGATCACTATAATAGAACAAAACACAACAGAAAAGATAATATTTCTGAAAACGCCAGCATCATCAGTGTGTAGAGCGGGGTGCCTGGCTGCTGGTGTGATGTGCTGTTGTAGCCATGTAAAAGTGCTCAAAACAATACAAATCAAACCACACACAACCCAATATCCCAAGTCCAAGACTCCTTTGTCTCTGCTAGTATCTCCTTTAAAGGAGCGTCTGAACCACAGCGGTAAACAAAATTAACATGGAATCTCTTCAGATATATAATAATCTTTTTGACAATTGTATAAATCTATTTTGATAGTTGTTTTTCTTGATAGTGATGACTGGTACTGATATATATGAAATCATAAATGTATGAGGGCTCTAGTTAAAACAATTTGAGAAGCTTTTTGAATCTTTCTAATATTTTTATTATTATGGTTCCATGTATGTTAATACTGTGAATGCAACGTGAAAAGTCCCCGCTGGGTAGAGCAGCGACTCTGTAAACAGCTAAGACCTTTTTTGTGTCCCTCCTCTATTTCATCCTTTCTCTAAATGAGAAAACGGGAGGGGGAAAGTCCGCTCTAATCCACAGTGCACATAGCGGCCTTTCATACCTGCACCGGGTTAGAGAGAGACCTTTATTTGTACGTTTCGATCATGGAGAAGAGGTTTCAGGCTCAGCTGGGTCTGAGCAAAAAGATTAGATGTAACCAGAGCACTTTAAACCTCTTTAGAGGCCCTGGATTAGCTCAGTTGAGGGTTTCTCCATCTCTCCATGCATCTCTTCATCTCTCTTAAATGAGACAGTAAGATCCACAAGGACACAGGTGCTGCCCAGAATGTTGAAGGAATGTGAGGTGATCTATAGATAAGGAAATTTAAAGCATTAATACATTTTTTTTCAAGGTAGTTCAGAAAAGCAATCATGTTGAGAGTTTCAAACAGCGTGGGAACAACCTATGAGCTCACACTTTACCACAATATCTAATAACATATTACTCTTTCTGTTTCTGAAGTATATATACTATCCACAGAATCAGAATGCAGTGCACTTGACTTGTCAGTGTGACAAATTAAAATAGCAGAAATTAAACTGTATTAAAAATAAAATATTATATTAAAGGCGGCCAGCAGTCAGCACTAATTTGTTATGATGGCTGGTGGGACTAAGCCTCTCTGCCGATAATTACACTGCTGAACATGAAGGAGCAAGGAAAAGGAAAAATCTGATTTTAGGTTTTTCCACAGAACTCCACAAACATATGCTATAAGGCGGATTGAGAAGGATGACAAATATCAACTGCTGGACTGCTAAGAAAATTATGTTTCTGTCATGGACAAGATAGTGTTTTCCAGGGTTCCTACACATTTTCCATTTCAAAATTCCATAATTTTCCACACTTCTCTGTAGATTTTTATGTTTGATATGCTTTTACACTTTCACTGACTGCATACATTTTTAAAATTGATATATACATATATATATATATATAGTTAAAATTATAGGGTATATTAAAATATATACAACTAAAATAAATTCATAAATACAGAAAATGCCAAATAACAATATTAATTGACAAAGATGTATATTGCTTGTGATATAATCTGTATCACAAGCTTATTTAGATCAAATGAATGAACAGATAGATAGATAGATAGATAGATAGATAGATAGATATAGATGCTCTTTTAGATATTAATCCAGAAATTAAAAGTCATAATGTATACTGTTTATCTCATTAGCATATAGTGTAGCCTGCTGAGCAGTGTTCAGTGAGTAATAAGCTAGTATTCTATTCCATCAGTCATGGAGTGATGAAAATCAATTAATGTAAATGGCAGGCAGCAGGCTGCTGACCCTGCAGAGGGGGCCCTTAGAAGCACATCTTCTGCTCGGGCTGCTCAGATGCCATGCCCCACGTAACCATGAATTATTGGTGCCATCTCAGATTACCTGCAATATACCACAATGCAGTGAGGGAGTGCTGCGGTCTCCCTGGGCCTGAGGAGGGGGGCCCGACATTGTTCATCTTGACGGTGGAGGAGGAAAGGAAATCCCTTGGCTCTCTCTCGCCACAAGGGCGTGTAGGTCAGTTTACAGCTCATCACTAAATTAGATAAGCTTTTAGTTAAACAAGCCTCTCTTTTAGACCGGACAGGCATGAACTTGATATTACTGATCATAAAAAAAAATTTGTTAGGGGGCAAAAACAAGTGTTGCGTTTATAATTTTGTTCAGTGTATTTAGTGATGTCCCTGCTGAAGAGATCAGCATTGCAGGGCACTAGCAGTTGGTCAGTACAGTTAACCAAATATGCAAAATTAAAAAATGTCAAATTGAAGTTTATTTTAGAAATAATGTTACTAAAGGTTTACTTTAGTGTCTCAAAAGGAATGAAGGGAAGTGAGAACCATTTTATGCTGGGGAAGTTCAACATCTTCATATGCATCAATTATTAAAAATTATTTTTAATAAAAGTTATTTATTATGAGTTTATTTGTTCATGTAAAGTACAAAAACATAATCTTCAACAAAATCTGAAAGACAAAACTATGCATGATGATCATGTGACACTAAAGACTGGAGTAATGGTTGCTGAAAATTCACAGGAATAATATATATAACAACACACACATACATTTATTTTATTATTTACTCGAAAATAAAAGCCTATTCAAATGCCCATTCAATCAAAACTCTAGATTAATATAATTGCCTCAGAACTAAGCAAAAATGAATAGAAGCAGATATGTTTATTTTAGATTTAGATATTTTAGGTATGTTATGTTTGAATAATATATATATATATATATATTTTTATTTTTTGACACCACCACAGTTCAGATGCATCTCTCGTGTTTGTCTTGGATGTGTCTGTGGTGATAGGCCAATGTGTGGGTGGAGGATCTCAGGGAGGGTGCGGATGGACTGCTGGGGTCTGGAAGGCACCTGATGGTGTCTGTGTGAAAAGCAGAATCTAAAAACACTCCTATGAAAGATATCCTGCTCCTCTCAGCGCAAGGTTAAGATCCTCCCTGGAGCTGCTGAAGGGGATGAGAGGATTGTACATTAGAGTCTCACAGCCTTATCTCAGCGGTTTGAACCTCCCTTCAGCTCTCACTGATGCCATCGCCCTGCTTTCCCATAATGCTGCACAGCTGCAAAACACATACCACACTGTAAAAATTAATTCCGTAAAATTTAAGGTAAAAAAACGGCAGCTGTGGTTGCCGGAATTTTACCATAAAAAATACGGTAGCACCATTTTAGGTTTTACGGTTTTAACTTAAATTTACAGTTAAATACTGTAATTTCATTAACTGAAATAATGTTAATATACCAACCTATTGAAGTACTGAAATCTGTTTTGTACGTTTGTAATACACTGATAACCACCAAAAGCAGGTGGTGTTGAGAAAGTCACATGATGAACCAAAGCCCATCACAAGCAGCTTTTAAATACAAACATATATAGAAGGTGCACAGTGTCATTCACACAAACACTAAACACCATAATGGTAACACACATGAAACTGAAATAATGCAATAAACATTAATTTAATAACATTAGGTGTAACATACAACCTTAATATACAAAACCGATAAGAAAACACTAAGAAGAAACATAGTTATTTCAACAACGAAAAAACCCATCAAATTTGAAATGTAACGCAGGGAATTGTGGGAATGTAAATTTACGGTTATTCACTGTAAATTATACGGTCTTTTTCACTTCCAAAAACGCTATTCTACCGTAAAATTACATGTAATGTCCAATACAGTTTTTCACCATATATATATTAGGGGAATTTTCCGTTAACCGTTTAACAGGTTTTTACTGTAGCATTTTTACAGTCTTTTACCGTTAAATTCACGGACATTTTTTACAGTGTGTGGACACTTTGGACACAAAAAGAACAATAGACACTGCATTAGCATTAGCAAAAGTCTCCAGCACACATACAAAGTCCCTGGAAAATAATCCAACAGAAAATGAGTAGGTGTGTTGAAAATTTTGACTGGCAGTGTATATCCCTGACCTACAGTGAGAGAGACGTCGAGAGATTGAGAGAGAGAGAGAATGTGGCACGTTCACTGAAAGTGTGTCTGCCTCAGCCATACAGCCCAGGGTTAATGTTGTGGCTGTAAAGTGGGAAGTATTGTCACAGCCTGTAAAGATAAGGTGATTTATGACAGAGAGTGAGGAAAATAATCACAGTGCCACAGGGCAGGGAGAGAGGACGGAGAGGAGGAGTGTAGGAGAGATGTTTTGGCAGGCATTTCTCACCACTGCAGACCTGAAGACTTGAGTGAAAGAACACAGAGCCAGAATCAATGAGTCTTTAATCGCCTGAATGAAGACTGAATAGTGAGTAAGAGACATGCGGTGGACAGAGAGGTGGAGAGATGAATCTGCAGCTACATTCAAACTGAAAGGGAGAATTCACACAAAACAAGAGAATTCATCATCCTTTCCTCACCCTCATGTCGTTTGAAATTCTATGATTTTATATGGGAACACAAATGGAGATGTTCAGCAA